GGTGCCTGTGGTCCCTGCTACTTGGGAGGCTGAGGCAGGAGACTCGCTTGAGCCCAGGAGTTGGAGGTTGCTGTGAGCTGGGATGCCACAGCACTCTACCCAGGGGGACAGCTTGAGGCTCTGTCTCAAACAAACAAACAAAAAAAAACCCATCTGTATACATGCCACCTGCCTGTTGTATAAGTGAAAAAGATTCTTCTGAGTATGTGCGCAGAGTGGGCCTGCAGGGCTCTGAGACACATGCACACTCAACTTCAGGAGCCAACGCCAACGTGTCACCTAAGGGATTACACTAATTCATTCTCCTGGCAGCAAGCTATAAAAATATTCTCTTAATTTTTACCAATGGAATGGGTGTGAGAAGATTCTCAAGAACATATAAAGAATGCTACAAGGCTCGGCGTCTGTAGCTCAGTGACTAGGGCACCAGCCACATACACCAGGGCTGGTGTGTTAGAATCTGGCCTGGAGCCTACCAAACAATAACAACTACAACAAAAAAAAAATAGCTGGGCATTGTGGTGGGCGCCAGTAGTCCCAGCTACTTGGGAGGCTGAGGCAAGAGAATCTCCTAAGCCCAAGAGCTGGAGGTTGCTGTGAGCTGTGATACCACGGCACTCTACCGAGGGCGACAAAGTGAGACTCTTGTCTCTTAAAAAGAAAAAAAAAAGAATGCTACAAATCAATAAAAAAAGTATAACTCAATGTAAGAGTATGCAAAACACATAAATAGGTATTTTACAAAAAAGGACACTCGTGTGGCCAATAAGAATATAAAGGTATGTTCAACATCATTAGTAATTAGGGAAATAAATTAGAACCACAGGAGCTAGAGACCTAGCCAGAGCAAAGTGAAACACTCTCTCCACTAAAAATAGAAAAATTAGCTGGGTACAGTGGTGTGCACCTATAATCTCAGTTACTTGGGAGGCTGAGTAGGAGGATCACTTGAGCCAGGGGTATCAGACCATAGTGAACAGTGATGATGCCACTACACTCTAGGCCCAGTGATAAAGCAAGACTCTGTCTCAAAAAATAAAAAATAAAGCCGGGCACTCACTCCAGTAATACTGGCACTCTGGGAGGCCGAGGCAGGTGGATAACTTGAGTTCAGGAGTTCAAGACCAGCCTGAGCAAGAGTGAGACCCCATCTCTACTAAAAACAGAAAAAACAAGCCAGACATCGTGGTGGGTGCCTATGGTCTCAGCCATTTGGGAGGCAGAGGCAAGAAGATTGCTCAAGCCCAAGAGTTTGAGGTTGCTGTGAGCGATGATACAACATCACTCAACTTAGGGCAAAGAGTGAGACTCTGTCTCCAAAATAAAAATTAAAAAATAGGCTTGGCGCCTGTGGCTCAAGCGGCTAAGGCACCAGCCACATACACCTAAGGTGGCGGGTTCGAATCCCCAGCCCGGGCCCGCCAAACAACAATGATGGCTGCAACCAAAACAAAAAATGGTCGGGCATTGTGGCAGGCACCTGTAGTCCCAGCTACTTGGGAGGCTGGGGCAGGAGACTCGCTTGCGCCCAGGAGTTGGAGGTTGCTGTGAGCTGTGATGCCATGGCACTCTACCCAGGGGGATAGCTTGAGGCTCTGTCTCAAAAAAATAAAAAATTAAAATTAAAAAATAAAATAAAGAGCACTTCTACCCCATACACAAGAAGACTCAGTACTAACTTGCAAATCTTTTCTGTGGGCCTCTACTATGTTCAGAAGAAAGCCTAGGGGCAGGGCAGGAGACTACAGATATTCTCGCTTGGTGGCCTAGGAACAGAGGAGGTGATTAGCAATTGTTAGGGGACGGATCAATGAAATACAGTGCTCACTTACTCTCCTATACCTTCTCCTCTAATTTTCTTTTGAGACAGAGTCTCTCTTTGTTGCCCTGGGTAGAGTGCTATGGTGTCATAGCTCATAGCAACCTCAAACTCCTGGGCTCAAGTGATTCTCTTTCCTCAGTCTCCCTAAGTAGTTGGGACTATAGGCGCCCACCAGAACACCCGGCTATTTTTCGAGACTAGGTCTTACTCTGGCTCAGGCTGGTCTCAAACCTGTA